TCCCCTAACCCCCCGCACCAGAGCCTGCATCACATTGTTGGGCTCCAAACCCACAAGCTCCATGAACAAATTCTTCCTAACTCACCTGCATTGGGTATTTTGTTACAGTGGTGAAAAGCTAGAATAGACGTCCAGACAACGGTACAGGGGAAAGGTCATCTCAGACCCCTTTTGTAGTGTTTGCAATCTTATTTCCTCCGATATTTGTTCAACGTATTTCTAACTGCCAAAAGAAAATAACTTCAAAATCCCCTTAGGAGTCCCCCAAGATGTACTTTAAGAAACTGAAGGACCACAATATGCTGCGGACGAGGTGGAAGGACACACAAAAAACAGACTACGCACTGGTTTCATCACACATAGCAATACCTGGCAAGGTCCCACCTGCCCAGGCCACTTCCAAGAGGGGTGGGGTGGACGAAGTACTCACCTGGAGCTCTCAAACTTCACGATCTTCCTTTGAAAACCACAGTGAAAGTTGGGGTTGAAATAAAAGCGACCCTTTGTGTCCATTAAGACCAATGACAGGAAAATCACTGGCATATTTCATCACATCATTGCCTAATTTATACATGCGTAAGTTTACTCCATTGTCACACCGTCGCATCATAAGAATGTTTATTTTCAAAATGATTTTCATTCTTTCACCATAATTTCCCCCAATTTTTCACATCATAGTGGCATTTCTTTCACATATTCTTAAAATACTAAACACAGATCTTGTCCAAAGTTAAAAAGGCAAAACACATTTTTTTTTTCTTCAGAAAAACATGACATCGAGTTTCACAGAAAAGTGATTGCCCTTTCAAAATGTGAAGAATTGAAGCTGTTGGGGTCAAATTTCATCGTAGATCCAAAAATAGCCCTGAGGTCTAAATAGGAAAATACCTTTTATAAACTATAACAAAATTCTCACCACAAAATAAAACTCTCTGGAATTCATCCAATCATATTGTTACTCAAGAGAGAAAACCAGCATTACATTCAGAACACAGACGACATGACTTGAAGCCCAGCCACTGGACATGTCCCCTCCATCTTCAACCGTCAGAGTAACCACCGCTGAACACCCAGGTCCTCGCACACCCAGTGCAACAACAGGAATTCCAGGAAGATGGCTTTTCTGTGCTCACAATATTCAAATTAGGATGCCCCTGGGACTCATGGGGCCGCAGGCACATGCCTGGGTCCGAGGTACCCGTTTATGACTGCCAGCAAGCACACTTAGCTGTACAGGTCTAGAGCCTCCATGAGCATCTCATCAAGATGACAAACCAGTCGGTGACCACAGGCTACCATGCTACTTGCAATGGCCGGCTTCTCTTCCACCTAACTGACGGATGTCACGGCACGATGCTTGGGCAGACTGGAGAGATGTCAGAGCTTTTTCAGAGCTTGAGGTTGACTACCAGGTGGACGAGACGTCTGGTGTAGGAGCTCTCGGAGGACATCCCCCTTGGGTCTTGGGTCCCTCCAGCCAGCCGATGCAGGTCCCAGGTAGATCCATGGCCCATATCTGGCTGGTTACTACTGTTGAATAAGGGGGCTTGGGTTGTATCAGCTGTAGCCATACTCCTCTCCTGCGAGCCTCAGACTGTGCATCCTAGTGGATACACATCATTGAAACAGCTCACCTGGCATACACACCTGGCATTCCCTGGGGGGCACAGCAAAGCCAGGGCAGGCCTGTGAGCACAAGGCGGGGGTCCCCAGCCAGTGAGCAACCCTCTCACCTTACCGAACACCACCCACGTCAGTGTAGCCCGCTGCTGAGGGCTGTCAGAACAAAGCAGGCCCTGTGTCTTTTATGAGAGTCTGATTTCAGGCTGGTCTGAGCAAGAAAACTGTGCTTGCAGCAATGGCGCTCCGCTGAGTCACTTGGAGATTAATCGGATCCGTTCGGGTACTGTTGATTTTCCCTCTTGCTTATTTCAGTTAAAAAAAATAAATAAATAAGCACATCCCCTCCAGAGGAGTTTTCTTAGCTGCTTCTTTAAAATGCTGATGAAGAAACAGGTGAACTGATGAGCAGACCTGAGCTGCCAACCGGTGAGTTATAAAGGTGCATAAGACAAGTTCCAGAAGCACAGGGAAGTGGCGCCAGCTTGAGAAGCCCACTTCAGGTTTAGAATGGCTGTAGCTCTAAGTTCTTGGAGATTAGCATCACTTCTAGGGAGAGCATCATTTACCTGGTCCCAAGTTGTCACCAATGTGAATGTGCTGTTTCTATCAGGCACCCTTGTGACTTCCAGCCTGGCCCCTGGCAGGGGTGGAGCTGCCCAACTAAAAGTGGCTAACTCAGCTGGGGTGGACGCCAATGTCAAGCAGCAGGGATGTGGCCCCAGAGGGCTTCCAAAATGGCAGCAGCCACCTCCAGGGCAGAATCCAAGCAGGGACCCACAGGAGAGGCCAGGCGCAGAGTGAACAGGTGGGAAACATGCTGGAGTCTCCAAGATGCTGAAAGAAAAAAAAATCCAGGAGCTCTTTGTCAGGAGAGAATGAGCTGGAAGGAACAGCCCAGATCTCGGCAAGCCAGACCCTGATGTCAGAGAACACGAACAGGCACGGATCTGCAGGCGTATCTGGAAGAGACGGGTGAAGTCTCATCTCTCTGTACAGAACACACACGGGGGTCAAGGTCAATAAGGAGGAGCCAGGCTCGTCTCTCGGGCAGCATGGCCAGCTGGCTGCAAGGCATACTCACTGTGCGCAGGCTCATTTCCTTTGTCATGCATTCCTCCACAATTACAGGGTGCCCAACTGGCTCCCAGCTGTCCACGGGCTGCTCTAGGCCTGGAATCTGTTCCTCTCATGAGCTTTATCACATCTACACAGCTACACCTGTATTCCAGACTGGGAAGAGATGGTGGAGGTGAGCCTTCTACATGCACAAGTCACACCGACAGCCAGCACCAGCACTTCCCTCCATCTCATTCCACAGGAGCAAGGAGTGCCCCAAGCTGAAGTGGCACAAGCAATGAGGCTGTCACTGAAGTCTGAGGTGTTGAGAGCTGCAGGAGAAAAAGGGGCTAATGCCATGTGCTGTGCTTTCAAAGTACATTCGTGTGCATGACCTCTGCATCCTGGGTCACTCCAAGCACTGCTTGCTGCCTCACCCCACCTGCCCGGTGGGCCTGGCGCTGGGCCGATGGTCAAGTGCTGTTCACAGAAGCCAGCCAAAAAGTCCTGTGTGTCCCCCGTAGCCCAACATCAAGCCAGGAGTCACAGCACCACTGTCTGAAGAAATGAGCAGCCACCTGCATTACCCAGCTGCTGGCCACTCCCACGGAGGCGGAGTCTGTTGTTGAGCAGACAAAGTACACACCCACCAGAGGAGCTGAAGCCCTGAGACATCGGCACAGTCCCCCAAGCCCCCTCGGCCGGAGTCCCACCTCCAGCAGCCCAGGACACCCAGGCCTGAGCAGGAGTCTCGTCAGCAGCAGTGGCGCTGTCTTGGCCATTGCCATTCTGTCCAGCTTCATCCTACTGCACAACACTAATGAGCACTAAGCTACACCTCACCTCTTCCCCTAACTACACATATGTATAAATCCCTGAGAAGTACCTGTCAACTTGAAAATCACTATTTACAGTTAATGAGCAGCACGTGAGGAAGCAGACCCCCACAGCACCCCCAGCCATCTGGCCGGGATGAGCTGTCGCAGGTCAGGAGCTTCAGGAAAAAGGAACATAGGGTTGGGGAACCATATCAAAAAAAAGTCTGCCATCCACTCACTCTCAGGAACTTAGAAGTCACAACCTGGTGACACAGAAAAAGGACTCCGGAAGGCCAACTTGAGGGGGTGATCACTTCCTCCAGTCCGCTTCCTCTAACGACACAGGGAGGGCCACTCGACGGTGAGTGTATGTGACGGTGCAAAGCAATGAGAACGCACAGATCTGTAGATTGTGACAAGTGCAGCCATCTGCAGAGAGGAACAGAGAAAAGTTCCTCTTCCAGCTGGAAGGACCCTTCCTGCACTTGGGTCACATCAAGATTTCACATTCTATTTTCCCTTCCAGGGCCACAGGAAGCTTACCCTGGCACCTGTCAATCTCCTTCACATTGCCCAATGTCAGCCAGATCATAACAGCTTCCACCAAGCAGGCAGAGTAGCAAGTCTACCATCGTGATAGCTAGGAAATCACTGGCCTGACCCATGACTACTCACTCTGCAGACTTCTTGCAAATTCGTCTATATACACAGGTGTTTCAGCAGACACTGGACATGTCACTCACTGGTCATACCCATGCCAGCATCGCAGGTCTGAGCTGGAACCCTCAGGAGGAAGACCCAGCTAGAACACTCCTTTGTTGCCATACCAGTGAGGGTCTGTGAATACAGAGTCCATGCTGGGAAATGAACAGTTCCAAGCAGCAGACAGTGGGTGCCTGAGGTTCCGGTAGAAGTGGAAGGCTTCAGAGCACCCAAAGACCCACGGTCGAAAAACAGGTTGGGAAGTCTGGCACTTGCTAACATCCAGATGCTGAACCAGCCAAAGCAGAAGACCCAACACTGGCTGCCCCCACAACAGGAAGCTCTTAGTGGGGGCCGAAGATGGGTATCCTGGAAAGGCCACCAGAAGGCCAACGAGGCCTTTTCCCTACCTGATGTGGAAAAGCCACAATTCCCAATGCAAGCTGTGGTGGACTGGTCTAAGGAGGTGGAAGGACCTAAGAGAAACCCTGGGGGTCCAGCTGCCCCCAGGCCAGACCGGCTGGACTGTGCTCACCATGATAGGGGCTCTCACCACTATCAAAGGCAGCCAGCACGAAGAACCATAGATATCAGACTATCAGCATTGCCTGGCCAGGGCCTCAATCCATAGAGGCAAGCATGGGACCCGGGGCGGCCTGGGGAATCACTGTGGATTGGGTACACACTGCAGGAAGACAAAGACTCCAAAGATGACTGGGGACAGTCACAGCCCTTGGCCCCTTCCAAGGGGGTGTCAAATCCCATCTGCCAATCCTTGAGGGTGAGCCATCTCCTGCCAGTGGTTCTCGAGGTGGGCACATCTAGACCTCTGTGACACGAGGAGGAGGAGGAGCTGTCTGGAATCTGACCTTTCACCTCGTGTCTTCATCACACCACCCTCCCCACCGCCAGGGGACAGCCTGGCACCCAGAAGACTGAGTCTGGAGAGGGGCTGGTGCGAAATCCCCGACTGCTCAGGGCTGGATGCTGCTGGGCAGAAGACATAAGGACAAGCCAGCACTGCCCTTGCCCACATCATGAGACAGACAGGTGCACGTCACAACACATCCAGGGCTACAGTGGAACGCTGTCAGCCTGCCATATTTTACATCCACGGTGTCCAAGTCCTTCATCTAAACATTCCAATAAAGTGCGTATTGGCAGATAACTGAAAATCCAGATGGCCAGGAATTCATTAGACATTCTCAGCGCTTTGGAAAGCAAAGCGTGGGCAGAAAATTCCCACTGAGAGCCAAGGGTCTAGAAAAATCACAGCCAGCCACACCCAAGAAGCCGTAGCACTGGCTTGCAGATAAGCCGAAGACAGGAGCAATCACCAAAGCCAAAGCCTCGCCCACCGAGGCAGCCTGCAGACTCGCGACCCACAGGACACTGGGGAGACCTGTCCTTCCACCCCTCGTCCCGTCTGACCAGTCTCCCAGCTACCTTCCCCACAGCACCTCGCCTCCATTTCACACACCTTTGCACTTCTAGTCATTATCAATGAAAAAAATGATTTTTACCTCGCACATCTTTTTTTTTAAATGTTGCGGATTTTGCATTCAGTGAAGCCAAAATCCCTTACTTAAAGTGCACCGAGTTCTAGCAATAAATATGTGATGTGGATCTACATGTTTGTTTTGGTAACGATTTGGTAATTACTGTTACTTTGTGGGTAAGAGAGTATTAAAATTAGGATACAATGAAATCTGATGCCCTTGTCTCTCACCCAATCCTTTTGTGACAAAAGTTAATGCCTCATGCAGAAACCTGCTCTCCTGCAAGCTGCCCATGAGCCAAAGAGGAGGAGGATCAACAGAGCCTCAAGTTCACAGTGTCTCAAGCCATGTTCTTTTCACAAAGGTAGTAATAACGGCCTAAATACAAACAGCCCATCTGTAAAATGCTTCCAATTTGATGCTGATTAAAAAACACAAAACTTCTGCCAAAAAAAAAAAAATCCGCAGTGTGATAAACTGCTCTTTAAAAATCCTTACATGGGGTTTTCCAACAGGAGACTTTTAGGCAGAGTGCCCATGAGGTGTCCTGGTTGCTGGGGGAACCGGCTCTGAGCATATTCAACAGAACAGACAACATGGATGGTTTCGTGGGTCCCGGGAAGCGGGCAGTCCTCGCGGAGGCGCCCCAGGGCGGGCACAGGTGCATCCCTCCAGCAGGCGTGCACCGCGGGCCCAGTCACGTCCTTTTCTTCCACCGTGGCGCCCGCCTCTCCTGGGCCTCAGCCTGGCGCTTCTTCTCCGCCTCCTCCGCCCTCTTCCTCTCCTCCTTGGCCTCCTTGTACCTCCACTTGGGGATCTGCAGATGGGCACTGTCCTTGGTGCTGCTCTTACGGGCCGCCCGCTCGGGCTGGAAGGTGGGCGCAGGCGCCTTGCTGACGCGAACCCTGGGCACCACCACACCGGGGCGCACGCTGCTGCGCCGCAAGAGCTGCAGGAGACTGGCCCTGCGCGGGACAGGGCCGGAGCCCCGCGGCCCTGGCAGAGGCGGAGCAGGTGGGCTGACTTGTGGAGACCCTTCCTGCAAGGTCCGGGGTTGCTGTTCCGCGCCCTTCTCCAGGTCAGGTGTGCCCTGGGCCTCCCGCGCCGCCAGAATTTCCTGCACTGCCAGGCGCCGTTTCCCCACACATGGAGGGTCCTCGGGGCACACAGTCTGACAGACGATGGCCACAGCAGGGCTGTAGAGGCTTGTAGTCATCCTCACCATGTGGTCGAGGACCCCTCCGTCCTCCAGGCCCCGGGCAGAGCGAGAGATGAGCGAGGATCGCAGGAACTCTGCAAGTCTCTGCAGGCAACCCCTGGAGCCTGGGAGCTTGGCAGCGCCCACGGGCGGCTGAGGCAGCTCAGGCCTGTAGGATTCCCCATACTGCTCCGGGCAGGGGCGCTCCAGCAGCCTGTGCATAAGCCGCACCGCCTCTGTCCGGCCGGTGTAAGCAGCCCACTCCTGGGGCGACATTCTGCGGCGGGGATCCCGCGCCTGCACATCTGCCCCTGAAACACGCAAAACACAAACAAGAGTGGGTGTGGGCAACAAAAGCGCTTCCCCAGTACAAGCTTTGCTCTGGGCTCATGCAGGATCAGCCTTCACCTGCATCTGACCTCCACCTGCCACGGTTACTGTCATCACATGACCTCCTTGCAAGGGCTCCCTTCCACTGCCTCCTTCCTACGTAAAACTAAACCTGAATTGAGCACCTGAGTCATCCAATTTTTTTTTTCCAAGAAATGCAGTCACAGATCAAAGGACAAAAGAGGGGAATGCACAACCACCTCCCCAACCTGTGCACGCTACAACCAGTGTTCTGAAAATCCTACCAGGCCAGTCACCTGCCAGCAGCCAGGGTCCACCCAATGCCATCTCACTTGGAGGGCTGCAGAGGCCCTGCCTGGAGGAGTGGGCTGCCTTCACCACTCACCTCCCAGCTGGCTGGCTGGTTGGCTGGCTTCCCCAGGCAAGGCTATGTCTTGCTCCCTCCCATTTAACCCAGGCTCCTGACCAAAGGCAAGGCAGTCAGAGGGACCCTTGTAGGCTCACAGAGCTGGGAACAGAGCAGTGAGAGAAGGTCTCTGACTTGGGCCTCCTGACTTCAGCCCAAAACCCATCCTGCCCATGGCACGGCAAGGGAACAGTGAGTTTTCTGCACCAGTTTGGCCAAGTCACAGCACCCCCTTGACTTACCCCAACAAATGGGGACTCGGTTGCATCTTACAGGATGGGACTGTCCAGAATCAGCTGGAAGTCCTGCCTGTGAGCCCACCCTACAATCACCACAGCCATATGAATCCGTTCCCTACAAAGAATCTCTATGCACACGTGTCCTGCAGCTTCTATTTCTCTGCAGAACCTGCATGGACACTGCCCCTTCTCCCGCGCCCCCGCCCCCAGCCACGTCCTCAAATCCTCACATACCACTCACTTTCCCACTTACCTATTGCAAAGTTTCAGCTCAATCTAGTGAAATCTGCATGAACTTCAACTTGACACTCCAGAAATGAATATGCAACTGCTGTTCAGTTCCTCTGAGTCCAATCTCAGCCCCAAATACAGTCAGAAAGCAGACAGGATGCAAGTGTCATTAGTCACATGTCTGCTGGCAAAGTGACCAGGAGAACCAGGACAATTATCTAGTCTGCGAGCTCCCCGGGGACCAGGCCCAGCAGTGGCAGCTTTACTTAAATCCCACACAGAGCCAGGTGCCTGGTACACAGTGTCTGACCAACAGTGCTGAGCGCAGAGAAGCAGGGGCTTGGCCACTCCCCTGGCTGCCAGTCCAAGGTGGCCGCTGGTCGAGGTGGACGTGGTCCACCTGAACTCACCTGTGACACATTCAAGAACAGCCACACTGGAAGAGTGATAATTATTTGGAAGTAGAAATCAGGATGGAGCTCATTAGCCAGAGCACAATTTATAAACTGACTAAAATGAAAAGGGGGCAGTAAAAATGTCATTGCAAAAAATAGATGACACATTAAGCCTTAATTAATTGCATGTCACTCTGAAAAGGAACAAACTACAAAATTAAAATCTTAATGAACACTGCTTGAAGGAGACATTTTTCAAGTGCTAATGGAAAACCAAAAGAACAGCTGTCCAAAGTTTAGTGTTCTTCTCCTTGATTTCCAATCTTTTCAGAAAATACTAACACTCTCAAAACAAAAGCAATCAGCTCGCAGGACAGCCCTGCAATCTCAGTCCTGCGATGAATTAGGGATTTGTTCCCAAACAAACTGCTGGTAATGGTGATATTAAATGCCAGAACAAAGGAACTAGGTCAGGAAAGACAAGCAGTAGTGACTCGCATCTTACAGGAATACCTTCCAGAGGATCCAGAGAAATTCTGGGATGCCACTGCGTAGATCTCTTCCCCAGCAGTCCTCTGCACCCCACTCCCATCCCATGCCACATCATCGGCTGCCCGAACATGCACCTGCTGCTGCATCCAATGCCGTGAGTTGCAACATTCTCTATTTTATTCAAGGCAACAACAAACAGCTCTGGGCAATGCAACCAGTGCTTACAATATCAGTTCTCTTGATACTGAGCAACCAGCCAACTATTTTCAGGGGAAGCCAGCCTGTGCACTGCAGATTTTAACAGCACCCTCAGCCTGTGCACATTGGATGCTAGCGGCACCCCATCAGGTATAACAACTAAAAACATCTCCAGTCATTGTCAAACAGCACTGTCGGTAGGAATGATGGAGCCAACCCAAGCGTTGCAGCCCTAGTCCCCACTGCCCAGCCCTCCTTACAGTCAGGGTGGCCCAGTGACCGTAATATGCTGCTGCCCCTTGACCAAAGGGGCTGATGCGCCCAGTGAATCTTAGATCCACAAGTATGGGGACTGTGCTAGAACCAGGAAGTGACCAGCCAACAAGCAAAGGCAACTGATGGACAGGAGGAAAGAACTGGTGTCTGAGATGTGTTTGTGGGGTCTCAGGCCAGCCCTGTCCAGCGAATGCCAACTTTGGAACCAGCAGAAAGGGGAGAAAAACAGAGCCTACTTTCTCTAAGTAGGACCTCCATGACAACAGTAGGCATTCCAAACAGGTGCAAGAGGGGAAAAACCTAGTCCCTGTCCCTCATTCTTGGGAATCAAGCCAGACCAGGGGGAGCAGTAGGAGGTGGGCGCAGGTGGGAAAGGGGTCCCCTTTCCTCTTGCTCCACCAGCCCCCAGCCCCATTATGTCCAGTGCCAGCAGTGGCATGGGCCAGGGTAGAGGTGCCAGGCTCCAGGCCACCTCCTCTGCTGCAGAGTGGCAGGGGCTGAAACCAACTCCTTTCTCATACCAGCTGTCTCGGCCCTGGGCAAGGCACTGCTGAGATGTTAGATCACCTTTCGGGGAACACGGGGAGCTGAGCTCCAGCTGCCCAAATGTGTAGGGAGCCAACTCATGAGCACCACTCACTAGCTGTCACCCATTTCCAACATCACTCCCTTCTGTCTCCCTCTGCTTCCTGGGATCACATTCCAGAAAGACCACTACTCCAAGCCTTCACCTTTGAGTTTGCCTTTGGGGTGATAGGGCAACTTGTTTCAGTCCTGTCTCTAAAAACCTGTAGTGATCCCAGCCTGAGAAATTCCCAGTTGACAGTAAGCTCTTGTTTTCTTCCAGACAGACAGCAAGCCCCGTGGTGCCATCCATCATCTGACTGGCAGCAGAACCCGTGACAGCAGGGGAGGAGGGCCCACTCATCCCTTCCCGACTTCCCGGCTGCTCCGCTCCTGCCTATCGCGGAAAGTTCCAGGCTTCTGTCAGATTCCCTATGCCTGCCCGCCGCTGCTGTGATGTCACCACACTTCAGGTATAAAAATAAATGCTCTCAACCAGGTGTGGTATCTGCCGCCCTCCACCAGCAAAAAATATACATGTCTACATAAAATAAAAATCACAGCCTCTGGCGGCTTCTCAGAGCCACTTATTCTAACAGACCTGTCACTCTGTTAGGAGTGTTACTATTCCACTACATCAACGAAGTCCTGTACCCTGCTAGCATTACTCCTTAGAAAGCCAAAATCCAAAAATCCAGAAGAAAACGAGAGAGGGAGGGAGGGTAAGGAGGAGAGGAGGAGGGAGGGAGGGGGGAGGGAGGGAGGGACTGATGGAGGAAGGAGGGAGGGAGGAGGGAGGGAGGGAGGAGGAAGGGAGGGAGGGAGGAGGGAGGGAGGGAGGGACTGATGGAGGAAGGAGGGAGGGAGGGAGGGAGGGACACACAGACGGACGGAGCCAGGAAGAGAGGAAGGAAGGGAAGGAGCAACAGCTGCTGAGAACCCAGCTATAATCTGTGTTAAAAGCCAAAGTTCTAAAAATTCTAATATGACTCTTGTTCAACTGACAAGGCAGATAAGAGCTAGCATGGGCCCATATGTTATGAATCATCCAAAAGCCTAAACAATGATAATCTGTCATTTCAAAACAGGCATAGTTCCTCTAGTCGTGGTGAAATCCCAGCTTAGAAACTTCACTTGGGTGGAGAAAAGCACTCAATCTTCAGAGGCAGAGTTAACAGCAGGAGTCTGGCAGGGCAGCGTCTTCTGCTTTCAAAGAGCTCACAGGAGGCCAGGGGAGCAGCTTAACAGGTAAAGCATCCTATAGCTGCTAGTTCATGCCCTGGTTGTCACTTCTGATGCAGCTACGCTGCCCCAACGCTGGCTGTTGCTTCCATGTGGGGAATAAACCAGTAGATAGGAGATAATTGTGTGTGTTGTGTCCCTCTAATTCTCAAAATCGGTAGGCAGATCTTAAAAAAAAAACAAAAACAAAATAAACATCCAAAAAACCAAAGTGATCACCAGATGACCAGCTCAGGTCAACTCCCTCGTGAAAACATGAACACACTGCTCAGGCTGTGAGCGCCTTCAGGGAACAGGAGGAAATGAGCATATCCAGGCAATGCTGCAGCATCTCAGCAAGCATGTCTGGTCTTGTCCACCAGCCCCAGAGAGGCCATTCCAGCACACACTGTGCCTTTCAGAGCAGACGGCAGGGGGACGAGGACCCGCTGCTCTGAGCAGAACCACAGCAGGAGGCAACGAAGCATTGCTCAGAACACATCACCTTTCCCCTTCAGGCAGGACAGAGTGAGCTTGGAGGGAGAAACCCCAGGAGGAAAAGGCTTCTCTACCTTTTCTTTCCCATGAAAATCAGTGATGGCGGAAGTGGCAAAGGGAAGGTGGCCTGCAGACCCAAAGCGTCCACACGACAACTTCCCATGCCATGATGGCTCCCCACATCAGCACACAATGCCACCCACCGGCAAGCAGGGAGCTAGGGTACCTGGCCACCTCTGCCACCCGGTGCCCACCTTCAATGGGGCATTCAAGATCAGAACATACATGCTGGGTGGGCAGGGAGGAGGGTAAGGAGTGAAAGCTGATATTGCCCCCTTTCAGAGCTGGGCAGAAAGGAAGGGTGTCCTAGCCCACCCTCTGCAACCCTGGAGGGGTTTGCTTTAACAACTCAGATGACTGGGCCAGAGCAGTGGCAAAGTGAGCTAATCTTCTGTGTGTGGTACCAGAATGTGGTACCAGCGTGCTATACAGGTACTGGTTCCTATCCCAGCTGCTCCACTTCTGCTCCAGCTCCCTGCTTGTGGCCCGGAAAAATGGCAGAGAATGGTCCCAAGTCCCTGGGTCCCGCGCCCATATACAAGACCCAAAAGAATCTCCTGCCCCTGGCTTAGGGTCAGCTCAGCTTTAGCCTTTGAGAGCATTTAGGAGTGATTCGGCAGATCGAAGACCTTTCCTCTCTCTTTCTCTGTCTCTAATATTTTAAAAAAGAAAAAAAAAAAAAAGGAGCAAAAGTCAGATGACAAAAACCCAGTCTTCCACAAAGACACTGTCCTTTGTGGAGACTCCTGGGGTCGTGGGTCCTCTCAGGGCAGAGGCTGTGAGCGGGTCCACGTCCCAGGCTGGTCAGGCACATACCTGCAAGCATCAGGGCACGGATGCACTCGACACGGCCCTGCATGGCGGCCTTCATCAGGGCCGTGAAGCCGAACACGTTCCTCCTCTCCAGGTCGAGGCCCGGGAAGTAGTTGAGCAGGTAGCTGGTGATGGTGGCGTGTCCTGTGAAGAGACAGGCGAGGCGCATGTGTGGAGGCGCTCACAGCCCACGGGAGGTGCTCGTGCCCACACGCTGAGAGGGAGGGGCTAAGTGTGAGGAGTGTGTACACGTGTGGGGGTGTCAAACCCCAACAGTCAACTCTCCCAGAGCCTAGGAAGCAGGTGAGGCACAAGACACAGCCTGGCCCCAGGTCTGAAGCCTTCAGCAGGTGCTGTCCTAGCACATGGCCAAAACAGGCTCAGGAAGCCAGGGCTCTGGGTGTGCAGGGTGCACCCAGCAAGACCAGCACTGGAGCCATGGTGCAAACAGATGCCAGCCGTCAGGAGCTGCTGAACCATGCCAGAGTGCGCCACCTCAGCACAGCACCAGGATGCGACCCATCCCCGCTCACAGCTCTACTTCCACCCGGCAGTGGACCTGTCTCCCACACAGGCTCTTACAACAGGCAGCGGCTCAGCCGTAAGCCAGAGAAGGTAACAAGACTCAGCTGAGAGTGCGGGTGCCTCCCGGCCCCTCCCAGGACAGATGTGGCCCCAGGCTCTTCTGTAGCTGCTCATCCACAGTGCACAGGGAGGGCCCGGTGGGAGCCAGGGTTCACCTTCCCCATCTCCACTCCACTTCCCATAACCCTGTTATGGGGTAGCCTGAAGCACAATGCACGCAGCATCCCCAGTCTCACCCATGGACTCCAACTCCTGCCTACATGTAACAATCAAATATGCATCCAGATATAGCCAAGGGCACACTGGAGGGGCAGCCTCAGCCTGAATGTAGACCCCTGACATAAGACTCAGACTTGCCAGCTCGAGGACCAACCACACCAGGGTAAGACAGTCTACCCCACTCTCCCTTTGAGCCCCCTCCTCCCCAGACCTTTCTCCTTCCTGGTGCTGCTGACATAATCTCAGGGATGTGAGCCCAGGCCAACACTGGGTACCCAGGCTCCAGTGACCTGGGTCAGGTACTGAATATCCAGGCTGCAGCCCATGCCAATGGCCCAGTCAGTGTCACTTCCTCCATGACCCTACTCTGCACAGGTTCTCCTGCAAGCCTGCAGGTGACCCGGCCCCAGTACACCTGTACTGTTCTCTCCTGTTCTGGTAGCACCTTCCCTTCCTTCCAGGCAAATCCCACAGGATTTCCCACAGGCAAATCCCACAGGATTTCCAGGCCAAGGCTTCGCAGAGGCTGCCCTACATGACACATGGAGAGGAGGTGAGGCCAGCTCTGGGACTCCCACACTCAGCCTGTGCACCCAGAGGGTTCCTGGGCCCCCAATCTGGCACAGCTTCCTGTGGAGCCCTAGCCCTCAGCCCCTGTGGTGTCTAACAGCACCGGTGTTGGGTCCTCCTTGCTCCTGGATGACTCCAGTCTTCCCAAGCACGCCCAGTGCCTCCCAGCTCGGGAAAGACTACTGTCCCTCCCCAATTCATCTGGAGAGCAGTGTCTCTCCACCTGCCAGGCTGAGAACAAACAAGCAACAAAACGAGAATGCGCTCTCTTCGAAGAAGCAGGCTATTTGCTACATGACTGCTCCTGCCCATCATTGCCTCACAAGACTGAGCTGGGAGCCCTCCACCAACCCCAGCTACAAGACTCCCAGGGGCATGCAGGCCTGCCTGCCCCATCCACACCTCACGGCCTCAAGCTGCCATTGCTGTGTGAGGGGCCTGGGCAAAGCTGGGAGGGACCCAGGGCTACAGAACCACTCCATGCCGGAGCGTGCCTCTGCAGTACTTGTCACTCCTAGCCAGCCAGGGCCGGGAGAGGAGAACTGTCATTTGCAATTTGCTGAGAGAAATGTGGGAGAGTGTGGGCACAGTAGCTGTCAGAGGATGTTCTCAGTGGCCAGGGTATCCCGAACACCTGGAACAGACGAGGAGAAACTGAAACACAGATCTGGTCTGAACACAGACCAGAACATTCTGCTGAGTTCAGAGAAACTAACCCCATCCAGACTGCAGGCTTTCACTTTCAGTGGCCCGAGGAGACACTGCTCCAGCCTCAGGGGGCTTTGCCCACAAGGTGGGAGGCGGCCCCTCACCACACAGACGCCCTTGCTTAGGGACAAGCTAGATAGATTCGATGCTTCTAACCAAGCCACAGTCCACCCCACCTAAGATTAAATGGGCATGATCATTATTTATGATGGATTCATTAAACATCTTTGTGGGCGTTAACTATGGGCTAAGAACCTTGCCAACACGGGGGAGGGGGCCAGGGAACAAGTAAAATGTGCCTGCAGGAAAAGGAAACCAGTAATCAACAGTTACAGAATTGTGTCCAGGTTCCCAAAATGCGCGTATCCCTACAAAGCCAGTAGAGGGAGCTGTCGACCTTGGAAACGCTCGTGCTGGGCTGGGAGCAGCACCAGTGGTGAGGAGCAGGCAGGTGCAGGAGGGGCGGGCCAGGGAGGGCGAGTCTCTTCCCCAGGGGTGGAGCGGTGGGTGCCTGACAGCAGGGCAGACAAACTGCGGGTACCGCACCAGCTAGCAGGTGCTGGTGTTGCTGTGGCCGTCAGAATAGCTCAGCTAACCAGCCCGGCAGCAAGAGGGAAGGGAAAGCAGACACTCCGTTCTCAGTTCTGATTTTAACAGCAGACCCCAAGCAGCAACAGCAAACACTGCAGCAGAAACCACACCGCCATCCTTCTGAGACTAAAATCACAGTAGTCATAATAAAATAAGTTATACAAAACGAAGATTTTGTAAAACGATTCTGGGTTCTGGCCATGGCTTTTTTCTTTCCTTTTCCTTTTAATGTAGAAAAGCAATGTTTTGGGCTGTAAACAGCACACGGTAAGGAGACATGGTTCTAACCAAGCCATTAAGAACTGACTCCTGGAAAAGCTGCTCGGATCATGGATTAACACACTTCAAAAAAACAAATACACGGAGCCAGCATTGTGACACAGCTGGCTAAGCCACTTGTGACACTAGCATCCCATATTGAAGTTCAAAATTTAAGTCCTAAGTGTTCTACTTCCGGTCCAGTTCCCTGCTGATGCAGCTGAGGAATTAGCAGGAGATGACCCAAGCCTCTGGGTCCCTGCCACCCACATGAGAAATCTGAATCAAGTGCCAGGCTCCTGGCTTCAGCCTGCCCCAGCCCTGGCCACTGTGACCATTTGGAGAATAAAACAGGGATGAGAAATCCCTCATCAGAGCAAGTGAGAGAGTGTGTGGAGGTGTGAGTCACTGCTGCTCCACTTCCAAATAAATCAATCAATAAGTCTTTTGAAAAATCAAACACGAGCTATGGATTCACTCTTCCTTATGGCTAGCCCCCACATCTACAGCTCGGTGTGCTCAAGCTTAGAACAAGCCACCTCAAAGAAAGTCAAGAAATAAAATGAAAACAGTTCAAGCAAAGCATGACTGAGCCAACACCAGAGGGGAGCAGAAGCACACGGTTTTGACCAACTGAAGATCCAAGAGGGTAGGGTCTGCACAGAAAGCGGGGCTCCCTGGGAGACAAGGCCAGAAGCCCTCTGTGGCTTGCATCTCACCTTCCCCGCCTTAAGATGCCATCTCACAGTTCTTCCCCGTCGCAGCTCAGTCACTGCCCACAGACAGGAATCTGAAAAGCCTGGGGGCATGCAGCAGCAGAGAGCTCCTTCAAAACTGTCCCCTTCCTGCGGGTATCATAGACCGGGGCTGGGTCCTAGAAAAGGCCTGAGGAAAGTCTAAACCCAAGTCTTGCAGCTTTCCCAAGCTGAGTTTCGGCTCACCTTGAGACCATCCCCTGTGTCCGGGCTAACACTGCTGGAAGGGCTCCTACACAGGGATAGCAGAAACAGCTCGTGCGTCTCCAAGCAGAGCCCGACCGATCCCAACCGGCCAAGACAGCAAGGAGGGGCATCTCACCAGGAGCGGCAGGCACATCTGGGGTCCTCGCCCCTCTGGACACAACGTGCGTGCGTGAGAGCAGCGTCTGACACAGAACAAAGAAGTGCCACGCTTCACAGCAATGCCAGGGAAACTCGATCCCCATATCAGCTCTGGTGGTTCATTTTCTGGTAACCACCCCCTTCTGGAGGTCCTTAAGCTCCAGATATTCAGTCTGCCAGCAGTGCCACTGGCAGCCAAAGTCACAGTCATGGTGAGGCAGAGCCTGGCACTTCCCAGCCTTCTGCTGCTTCAGATGGCGCAGACCCCACCCCGCCTCGCCAGGCTGTGGTCTGCTCTCTCGGAGACTGGGAAGCTTGAGCTAACCGCCAGAACTGACAGAGGGGCCGTGCCCGCCAGCAGCAGCGCCAGCGCCAACACTGTCATGCCAAGGATGTCGCGAGCCCCAAGCTGCTGGTCAACAGCAGTAGATCCAAACGGAGGCCAAGGAGCAGAGACCAGGAGACAGCTTCCGGCCACGTCCCGGGTCCTCTTTCACGTTCCTTCAGCCAGAGAAACACGGACACCCCAGGGACACAGGCACCCATGGAAGCTCCTACAGAGACCTCGGCTCCAGGAAAACCCACTGTCTCCTTCTGTCATCTGCTGAGGCTGCTCTGGGTCCCCATGTTGAAGGGGCTGGTTTAGGACGATGCACAGAGGCAAAGCCTGAACCGTTCCCAGATGCAGCCATGGTTACATGGTTACGCATGGTTACATGGTTACGCAAAGGTTCTGGGGCCAACAACAGGTCCTGCTTCCTTCTTCCCGAGTGATCTTCATTTCTTATTTGTTTTTTCCAGTAACACAGCCAAAGCCCTCCTCCCTCACAGTGGTCACGTGACATGCCCAGCTGGGCTCAGGCTGGATGTGTTCATCCCATGGGGGTCCCCAGGCTAAGCCAGTGATGCCAAGGTCCATCCTTTGGCTGGCTACCCCTGGAAGCCGGGGGGCCGTCAGGCTGGTGCCTTCTGCACATCCTCAATCCTCACAATCCACACTGGGGTCTTCAGGTGCCAGCAAAGCCCGCTGGCTCGCCCTCCACTGAGGCAGGTGAGCAGGCCAGGGATCCTGGAATGACTAAGGAGGCTGCATCTGGCAACAGCTTAAATTCTCCTCTGAGGAAGACCCAAGTCCTTGGGCCCTTGTGCCCATGTGGGAGACCCCAAGGAAACTCCTGGCTTTGGCCTGGCACAAACCTGGCCACTGCAGTCATTTAAGGAGTGAACTATCAGAGGGAAGATTTTCATTCATTTCTATTCTCTCTCTCATTCTGCCTTTCAAAAACATGAATAAAACTGAAAGCAAACAAAAATTCTCTGAAACGAGACCACCACAGTCAAGGTCAGGATCACACCTCGCACAGACAGCCTGAGCCCACACCTGTGAGGTGTCGCTGTCCCGCTGCCCTGGGCAGCAGGCACCGGGGATGAATGCCCCAAGGGGTCACATGTTTGTGCTTTGAAATTTTCAAGAGAAATTCAAGGAGGGGAGTGGCATTGTGGCACAGTGGGTTAAACCACTACTGCAATGCACACCTCATACAGAATGCTGACTTGAGTCCCAGGTGCCCCACTTCTGATCTAGCCCCCTACTAATAATATAGCTGGGGAAATGGGGGAAGACAGCCCACATATATGGTCCACTGCTCCCAAGCCAGAAACCCAGGTGGGAGTTCCCGGTTGCAGGCCCTGGTTCCAGGAGAACAAACCAGCAGATAGGAGATCTGTTTCTGTCACTCTGCCTTCATCAAGGGTTACTGGTGCCCCAAACAGGCTCTGTCACTCCGAGAGCCTTCAGCTTCATGTCACCCCACCACATACCCACCACCAGTCAGCAGGAAAATAAAACTGAGAGAGTGGGCAGAAAACACGATCCCCAGGACTTAGTTGTCACTGATTTGGTTATTTTGCTTGTTTTTATTATGTTTAAGGGAAGGTGTGGACGGCGTGGAATTGTTGGTTAAATGGGATTTGAGGATTACATGAGGATTTGTTTTCATTCATTCTCTCTGTTTTGAAGGCCTAACATAGATGCGGCTGTATTTTTCTGATGTATTAAGCAGCTAAGGAGGTTTGACTACTTAGAGGTTCTGCAGCAGCCAGAGCAAGGCGTTTACATCCTAACTACTCACACACTACCTCACATGGAAAGCCAGAACCCCGATCCCAGACAAGCAGCCCTGCTGCCACATCAAATAACACAAACTGCCGTTGCTTAACAGATGTGCTGAACAACTCTGCATCGGGGAAATGTGGAATACATCAACTGGACCACACCAGTCACAGCCACCTGCCACTCTCTCCAGAGACTTGTTTGGGTATAATCTTGTGACACAACTGACTGGTGAGATGTCAGCGAAGCTTGCAGAGGCAGTTTTGGGAGTGTTCGCCTGTCTTACAAAAAGGGACATGGGCATGGATGTGCCCCCGTTCCCTGAAGCTCCCCGGTGCTGCGACACAAGGCTGTGATGCTTGGAGCGGTCTAGGGGTCACAGCAGGTGTGAGAAGCTGGCCACTCCCCAACTGTCACCTGCAGGTTTGCCATGTGGGCAAGGCTGGTGAAGACAGAAGCACCAGAGCAGAGACAGGCACAACGGGGTGACAGAAAGACACAACTGAAAACAGGAAACGGCCACTTTGAGTAGCCTTGGACTGAGAACACAGCTCCTAGCCAGGATGGGCAAGAACACTCTGGGGTCTGAGTGGGCAGCAGAACTTGCCAGGGCTCTCTGCAAAGTGCCTGTGGCAGTTATGTGAATGTGCAACACGCTTGGACTTGTAGACAAGTCCACCCTACCCATTGCCTGTGCGCGTCATTCTGCCCTACTTCTGTCTGGCAAGGCTGCCCTCTACCAGCTGCCCCCTCAGCTTCCTGCCCCACAATCTCCTGCTTTGGCTTAACAGGGGATGGGATGGAAGAGAGGGCTATTTAGCCCTGCCCCCAGCCCACTTCCCACCAGCAGGGCCACTCTCCAGGTCTCTCCCCTTAATCCTTTAAGTGCTGTCCCCCAACTTTGTCCCCATCCCCTTCTTGACATCTCTCTGCATATGCTCCTTAGCGCACCTGCTGCTCCACCCTCTTCCTCCCAGGACCCTGCCTGATGCCGACTCCACAGCAAAGCACCCCCAGCACCAATGAATTCACCACAGCCTTGTTCACAGCTGGTTAACTCAACAACTGCCTGACAACTGAAGCGCACTCAAGTAAACTGTGGTTCATCTACTCTACACAAAACCTTCTTTAAACAAACATTTTAGTCAGCATCTCCTTCAAGTCCAAGGACCATGCTGAGAGACCACTGCAGTGAGCAGAAGCATAAATAATCCTGCCTCAGGGCAGGGGAGGGGAGCAGAGGGGAGGAGGGCGGTGGTGCTGGGTGGGACACTCAGGAAGGTGGGGGTGGGGAACCCAGAGGGAGCGCCTGGAACTCTCCAGAATGATCCCAGTGTGTGTCTTCCTACCTGCTTCCCTTGCCATATTTCCGTCTCAGATTTTTAGTAAGCAACAGCAATCACTAGTGAAACTTCAGAATTAAGTCATGCAATAGGCAAGGCAGTGATGGACCCAGGTCATGGATATCCCCTGGCTGAGTCCAAAGGCAGCACCTGCAGGTCTTGGAAGGACCCCTTTCCTCTCATCTCCCTCTCATCATGGGGTACCAGTGTGTCCCTCTGTCTGCTTCTCACATGGGGTCGTAGTTCTGCAGGACTCTCATGTCTGGGGTCCCCAGCCACTGCGGGAAAGAAAATCCCTATGGCCTCAGCCCTCCAGTGGGGGGTCCCCTGGGGCTCTGGCTCCAGTCTGGGTTTCAGCTAACAGTTGAGCCAGTCCAGAATACAGCTCTAAGGTCACCACGCCCCTCCCTTCAGAACCTGGAAGTTTTGAAAGCAATCCAGGCACATGGTTTCCCTGCCATGCTGAACAGCTCAGAGGCAGCAAGGCCCGATATGGGAACGGGCAGGCCTGCACTGGGGGTGCAGGGACCTGGAGCCAGCAGCAGGCTGAGGGCAGCCATGCAGGAAGGCATTCACACAGGCCACTGCAGGAAGGGGCGACCGCCAACACAGAACTTCGCTCCTCCCATTCTGCCTCCAGTCCTCACTCCACATCCTTTAAAGTCAGGGTCACCTCCCCTCAACAGCTGTCCAGGCTTCCAGTCCTCCCCACAGCCCTTCCCCTCCGCTCAGCCCTCCACCCTCCAGGAACCACTGAGCTCTCTTCAGCACACACCATCCTGGAGCCCTCCATCCTCCACCATCCCTGAAAACACCCACCCCGGAGACCATGGCTGCTCCCACCCTGGAAGGGCTCCCTGGGACTTTGCTGATGTGAGCTCAAGTAAACAGTGGCAATTACTAGGGAAACTTCAGAATTAAGTCATGCAACAGGCAGAGTGGTTGTGGACCTGGGTCTTGGATATCCCCTGCCTCAGCCCAAAGAGCCCCTCTCTGGTACATAACATCCCAGACTCATGCTTAACCGCACACCCTTTCCCTGCCTGTGCTCCTTCCGACTGAGCTGGGCTCTGTCCCAGGACATGGTGAATTACCCCAGGGTGGAGCTGCCTCGCACTCCAGTAAGCCAGCTCCTGGGACAGGACTCAGTCCCCAGGAGGCACTGAATGCCAAACCCAGACAGCCACTGCCTCTCAAATGCCTCCACTCCAGCCACTCGGGCAGTTGCATGCTGGCCTGGCTTCCACATGACTCCGGGCTCCAGACTTGGAAGCCCAGTGAGCTGAGTACCTGCAGGTGCCACTGCCACCTTGCACAACCTCCTGAACAGCAGGTGCACACACCATTGACCACCCCAGGGGGATGAATAACCAGACCCTATTTGTTGCAGCCTCCCCAGTCTGCCCTGACTGGACCTTCCAAGTTGGCACTGACACCAGAACAAGATGTGAAGGGCGTCTTGCTGCACCCCCTGACCAGAATCAACACAGAGCATGGCTGGGCATTTCCTGCAACTTCCTGGCCCAGAGGCTGACTCTCATGACTTCTGCCAACCATATGATCCATCCCCCTCTTCTCAACAGTCCCCCAATATAATCGTCTCCTCCTCCTGGCTCTGCCAGAGGCAGGGCTTGGCTTATAACCAAGAACCTGACTGATGAAGCAGGCACACTCGGGATCCAAGAGTAGGTCCCAGGAACTCCCAAGGATGCCAAAATCTGCAGGTGCTCAAGTGTCCTACAGAAAATGGCTGAGTACCCACACATTACCTGTACAGTCTTCTGGTACACTTCAAACCCTCTCCAGATCCTTGATAATTCCTACTGCCATGGAAACACTATGTTAACAGTCATTACACTATTATTTATGGCACAATAACGCCCACCCCCAAGAAGCCTTTAAAAACTAGGGGCTCCCTAGTATTGTACCATCCTGTCATGGAGAGCTGGGCTTCTGTTGCAGTTTTCGTTCACAGCATCACTGCCCCACTCACACCCTCCGCCCTGACTGTGCCCTGAATGCTGGCACAGAGTCATCGCTTTCTATTATGTGACAGGAAGAGAGGGAAATAGAGAGAGATGCTTCTATCTGCTGGTTCACTCCCCAAACGCCTGCTAACAACCAGCTTCAGCCAGGCCAAACCCAGGAAGCTAAATCCAGCTCTCCCACACACGGGACAGAGACCTAAGTACTTGAGCCAACACCTGTTGTCTCCTCAAGTCTGCATTAGCTGAGAGGTGGATCAGAGCCAGAACTCGAACTTGTGCTCTCTGATAGGGGACCCAGGTGTCCCACAGAGTGTCTCAACCGCAGCACCAAACACCCACCCTGAGTGTGGTTCCTGTCCATTTCCATCCCTCACAACACCATGTCCTGAGCATGGCTCTCGCCCAGGAGCCCACACTGCAGCAGCCTGGGGGGGGGGAGATGAAGTTCTTACCTGCCTGGGCTGCCGTGATCAGGGCCGTGTTCCCCTCGCTGTCCTGCCAGTTGACGTCAACATGAGGACATTCGGCTAAAGCCACCACGGTGTCCACAAAACCGTGATAGCAGGCGATAATAAGGCCAGTCTAGAAATGAAGAGGGAAGTATGTCAGAGGGGAGAGCCCAGGCACTGCCAGCAGGTGGTGGGGCTGGGGGCACCCGATGTCCTCCAGTCGGGAGCTGCACCAGGGATCAGGGATGACAGGGCTCTTGGGACACAAATGACGAGCCTCCTCCCCATCATCATCGGGAGAAAATAACTTCCCGTGCTCAGACGGGGGAAGAAATATCCCATTATTCACAAGATGCATACTTTCAAGTTCAGAACCAAAGAATAAACTTGAAAATCCACTTCCAGAAAGCACAGTGATAACATCAGCCGCAGGGCAGGGAGATGGTGCTGAGAGAAGGGATGGCGTCTGCTCTTTCTCAGCACTGTTGTTTCTGCATGGGAATGGTGTGGACGGCATTTTCAATCACTCCGGGATGGTTTAAGACAATGTGAATTAAGAATATTGTCCTAGGGAGCGAGGTGGAATCCCAGCTAAAAACCCCTCGCAGCAGTGGCATAGAGGGTGACTGGCTGCCCAGATCAGCCTCACAAAGGCGAGAGAAGCCCAGCTCAGACTTGTCTGGGGACAAAGCGGTACCATCTGCAGTGGACGGAGTGTTCTGTCCCTTGAAGGTGATCAAAGCCGTAAGTCAAAAAGCACTGATGCTGGGAAGCAGGGCCTCAGGGGGATTAGGTCCTGAATGGAGGCCTTGTGGATAAGATGGAAGATCTTTCTCCCTTAAGCTCTCTATAACTATGCCTTTTTTTTTTTTTAATAAATAAACCAGTCTTTAAAGAGAGGCCTTGAGAGCCGCTTACCCTTGCTGCCACGTGAGAACCCAGGGACAAGGCTCTGGCTGGGAACCCAAGCCAGGCTGTGGCTCCAGACTTGCTAGCCTACAGAACATGGGAAGCAAGTGCCTGTGCAAGTCACCAGGTTGACAGGATTCTGCAAAGCAGCCTGGCCAGAATGGCAGACCCGCCCACCGAGTGGGCTGCAAAGCAGATCACTTCCTGACAGTCTTGAACAGTCTATGAGCCTATCATGTAATGCATTGCTTAAACACATCACGAAACAACACAAATGTCAACTCGACAGGCAAGAATCTCTTCATTCGATCATGAAATGTAAAAACTATCTGGAAGCTTCCAGAATCCTGTCCTTCTGGGTTGCCACAGAGACTTCCCTGTACCAGCACGACTGCTAGAGGACCTAAGAGGGACACCCAGATGGCCTGTCTGTGCAGGTGCATGGGCCCTGCTTCCCGGGAACACAGCGGCCACTCTGGAATGAGCAATGTTCTTACAAGCTCCTACTGAGCCGCCACAGCCTGTACCGGGGAGTGAATTATGAGCCATGACCAATAACAAAAACCAACATGTACAAGCATTTATATCAGTATCAAAGCAAACCCTGCCTGGCCAAGTTAGGCAGCAATCCCAGGAATCCAGACTTGCTGGCAATTCATGGAATGTGATATCTATTTTTCTTTAAATACATTTGTGCTCCAAGGATGGTTTTCAGCACATTGAGCCGGAAGGTTCTTCAAGTCTGGAGCACAAAGATCAGGTCCTGGTAGGGGGCAGAAGGCTGGCCAGGCACAGAGGGAGCTGACCACCTGAAGTGAGGTCAGTTCCAATGGTCACCTCTGCAGGGTCTGGCTCCAGGACTGCAATTCAGATGCTGCCTTCTCCAGCAGCACACCACTAAGAATTTCACAGAACATTCCATGGAGCAAGCAGTGACCATAACAGGGAAAAGCAGGAGAACCCAGCAGAATCGGCAACAACCCCTAGGAGCTGTGCCCCTCCGTTGGTATGTGAGCATGTGCTTATGACAAAAAACTTTCATACCTCAACAGAAGTGACAGGTCAGAGGAACAGCAGCCACATGGCCACCGGAACAGCGACAGCGGAGACCATCATGTCATCACATCAACACCCAGCAGGAGTGTCATTCAAAAAGCATCCAAGTTTATTTTTTAGACTTAGATTTTTAATCCACCATGGTCATTTTTATATAGATAAATGGCGGAGATCTAACTTTACAGTTTTCTGCATGGTGAGCTATATTTCCTAGCACAATTTACGTACAAATCTATTCTCTTTCCATTGAATAATATCACCTGCCCAGGAGTAACTCAGTTTTCTGTATGCGCAAGAATGCACTTTGGAGTTTGGGTCTGTTGGTCTTAGTGACCCATTCCAGGCCCAGGGCAATCCTGATTTCATTCTGGTCTTGCTGTTGCACATGGGAGAATTTCCCTTTGAAACTGCTTGCCTTCTCTTGCTTAGACCCACGGTTCAAATGCATACCCCCAAAAGCATGAGCAACTTCATCCTCAATGCACTAGTGTTGTGAGATAAAACTCACGTGGACGATGTTCTGATGGATTAATGCTCTAGCCTGTGAGCCCCATCCACCTCCTGCTCTCTAACACACATGCAGCTCTGCCCTTCTTCCTCCCACCACGGGACAGCTCATCAAGAGGGCCCATGCAACACAGCCCCAGTATCTGACTCCCCAGCCTCCAGTGCACTGAGTCCAAATCTATTGTTTACAAAGGACCCAGTCTGCGCTGTTCTGCTATAGCTGCTCAGAACATACTAAGACAGCCGTGCCCAAAGTCTTTCTCTTACAAAAATAAAGTTCAGCTATCACTCCCACCAGAAGCGGTAGCAAAAGTAGACTGCACGAAACACCAGCCAGCCGGTCAGAAGAGGGTGTCCTGAGAAGACACACTCAGGCTGCCAGCAACAGGCACGAGGCCCAGCTGTTGAGAGCCATCGACTCAACAGCATCAAGTTGCAAAAGCACACACACACACGAACTCACAGAGAGTCCAGCCAAGAAGCAAGCAGCCGTAAATTTGCCATCCATGGTGTTCTCCCAAGTACCCTGAGCACTGAGTTCCTCGGAAGTGTGCCCAGCAACATTCTCCATCCTCTTAATCCTGGCCATTAGCACAGACAGGACTCAAGCCAAGAAGAAGCAATGGCTCACCAGCAAGCTGGGGAAAGCAGATAGTAACAAGAAAACAAGGCCCGCCTGCCCTGCCTGCGCAGTGAGCACCCTGCAAGGCAAGGGGCAGGGTTCTCAGGCTCCAGTCCTGACGCACGTGCTGTGGGGTCTCGTATACGCCACTTCTCCTTGGACAGCAGACTCCAGGTAGAGAAGGATCATGCATGGTTAACTCAGTTTTCTCCCAGGCCTGACATCTCCAAGGCACTCCACAAATTCTACAGAAGGAATGCCAGGCCCCTGACTGTGTGGGTACTGTGCCCACCTCAAACAATACCCAACTCGCAATAAAGTAAGGGCTGACGTGTGCTGACGTGGACTCAGCGCTTTTTATCTTATTTCCACACTGCAGAAAGGAAATATCCTGAGACTCCAAGAAACTGTGGCTTCCCAGCCTGGTAGGCACCGCTCCTGGCTGTGCCCCCGGGTCTAGGAGTGGCTAATGGAGAGAGACTTTAAGGCAGCAGTCAACCCAGAGGAAACGAGGGTAGGTTCAAGAACTTGCCTGGGGAGCTTACCCAGGAGCAAAGTGTGCAGAAATCTGTAGCACAACCATCAGGAAGTGACCCCCCCAACACACACCAGAGCTGGCTGCTCATCAGACACCTGTCAGGGGACACCATGTCAAGCAGAAGAGCATCACGGTCAGGACACAGGTGTGAAAGGAACATAACAACAGAGGCCAGCACAGAGTGTAATGACAACTCTGTGTGTGTGTGTGTGTGTGTGTGTGTGTGTGTGTGTGTGTGTGAGAGAGAGAGAGAGAGAGAGAGAGAGAGAGTGAGAGAGAACATTCTAGAAATGTGTACCTGAAGGCAGGGGTTTGGCATAGCACTTAAGATGTTACTTGGGACTACACATTCCATCTTGGAGTATCTGGGTTCAAATCCCAGCCCCACTGCTGATTCCAGCTTCCTGCCACTGTACAACATGGGTGAGGGCAGTGATGACCAAGTAGCTGAGTACCTGCTGGGTACCTGCTGGGTACCTGCTAGCCACGTGGCACCCTCAAATTGAGAACCCAGCTCTGACTTCATCCTGACCCAGCCCTGGCACTTGTGAGCATCTGGGAATGAACCAGCAATGAACAATATTTAAGTGTTTTGCCTCCCTCTCCATTTCTTTCTCTACACTTTCAATTTAAAAAACAAACAAAAAAAATTGTATGCCTGGCTCCAGCAATGGAAGCTCTTTTACTTTCCTGCAAGAAGCTACAAGAGACTGGCCACCTTCGAGACACGTGCTGCGAGGGCGCAGTGTTGATTTTCATTACACACTCTGAATTTGTCCTGGTGTCCTTTCAAGGTGCACACATTTTCAAGTAACATTTTTAAAATGACCTTGGCATTGTTGCTACTGGCGCTATTTAGATCGTTAGTCATGCCTTTGTGCTTCAAATAAAATGATGCCTAGCACTATTTTCCATTTTAAAATGAGACTAAAAGAATATACATAAGTAAAAGATATCAGAAGAATTCTTTCCAAGGCAAAGGCTCACCTGGAAGCCCAGGAATTGGGGTTTCACAAAGTCAAGGTTGCCAATGTTTGAAAACAATTTCCCTTCAGAATACATTTTGCAAGAAATGCAAATTTCATTACCACAACCAACCTTGCCTGCAGGCACATTTCCCGTGGTTTTATGAAACCATTTCAGCACTGTCTCCTGCCAGTCCCACCACACACACTCATACAAGCTGCCTCACATGATACAGGCATCATCGACCTCTCTCAAGCCTGCCTCATGTCCTGCTCACTGGACATGGTTTGCACACAACTGTCTCACGACATTCAGTGATGCCAGAAGCCCAGCTCATGGACCACCAGCTCATGGACCACCAGCTCATGGACCACCAGCTGACCTGAAGGTTGTAACTGCTGACAACCAGAACATGCTCCTCTGCTCATCTACCACTTGATCTTTTGAAATTGAGCTCAGGATTGTTACAGTGGATGCCCAACACTCCACAGAGACCTTTAGGGAAATAGAAAAACTAAGAGCAAATGCAGAAACT